AGTAGTCAATGTCACTGAACTGTGCATGCAGAAATTTTTGAAATGGTGTACCTTTGGCTATGTGTATTTTCACCAAAAAAAAAAGATTGAGAAGTTAAAGTGTTGCTATGTTGTGGGGTTGTTAACCAATGTCATAAAACAACATGTGTACTACTGTTTCATGAGAAACTATTTGTTCTGTAAGCCTCCACCTGAAGTACAATTAAAAAAAATAAAAAGAAAAAAAAAATTTCACACACACACAAAAAAAAAATAGTTTTGGGACCTTTTTATTGTTCTAGGGTCTCTGGGATAGAAACTTCTACGTTAACTACTAAGACAAAGTATGCCTTAGTAAGAAGACAGACACCAATCCTTCTGTTTAGTAGTGTCCTTACTGCAGAAGGAGATAACTATGCCCTTGGAAGACCCATCGGCCTCATAAACAAACAGTAATTTATGCTATAGGATTCCCTGGGTGGTGCAAATGGTTCAGTGTTTGACTACTAGCCAAAAAGTTGGCAGTTCGAACCCAGCCAGAGGCACCTCGGGAGACAGGGCTGGCAATCTGCTTCTGAAAGGTCACAGCTTTGAAAACCCTATGGAGCAGTTCTACTCTGCACACATGGGGTCACCATGAGTTGGAACTGAATCGACAGCAACTAACAGCAACAATTTATGCGATAGGATGGGCAGAGTCTAAGGAAATGTTTCAGATGGAGAACATATTCAAACTCTGCCATTTCTCTTGCCAGGACCTAGGGCTCAGTAGGATCCTTCACCTCACTCTCGCCTCCCCTGACTATCCACCAGCCACGTCGTGCTGGGACTGGGCTTGGAGTATTCTGTGCTCTGGAAAGCATTAGTTTCTTTTACAATTTTTATTATGGTTAAATATATATAACAAAACATTTGTCACTTCAATCACTTTTACACGTACAATTCAGTGACATTATGTTCACCATGTTGTGCAACCAACACCACCCTCTTTCCAAAAATTTTCATCACCCCAAACAGAAACTCAGTACTCCTAAGCAATTAACGCCCCATTTCCCTGTCCACCCATCCCTGGTAACCACTAATCCTCATACCAACTCTATTTATTCATACTTGACAGATGAATACAGATAAACTTTGTTCTCTAGGCATTTGCCTATTCTAGATATTTCATATAAGTGGGGTCACACAATATTTGTCCTTTTTTATCTGACTTATTTCACTCAGCATGATGTTTTTAAGGTTCATCCATGTTGTAGCATGTATCAAGGCTTCATTTCTCTTTGTGGCTGAATAATGCTGAGTTGTTTCTACCTTTTGGCTATTGTGGATAATGCTGCATTGAACACTGGTGTAGAAATTTCTGTTTGCGTTCTTGCTTTCAAGTCTTTTGGGCATATAAGGTATTAATATCTTTTCACCTGCAGTTGAATACGGTATGGCAGCAGGCAAAACATCATGAAAAAGGCCTCCAGCTTTACCAAAGGCTAATATCTAATTTCTTGATCAAATGTCAAATCACTGAAAAATTTAATGGTCAGTTTCCAGAATAGGTGGCTTTCCAAAAGTGTGCAGTGGAGGCATTTCCTGACACTCAGGTACCCTCTGTTTATTTCTGTCATAATACTTCAAATCACTGTCTTTTAGATTACATGTGTGTCTTCCCCATAGACTGTGTTATTAAATGCAGAGACTACTCCTATTTTTATGGATCCCCAGCATCTGAAACTGGGCCTAGCACATATTAAGTGCTCAGTAAACTTTGTAGGAGGGAGGAAGGGAAGAGAGGGAGAGAGGGAAAATGAGTTCCTGGTTTATAAATCTTCCTAGATGGCCGGGTTTTAGAACTATCCCTTGTCTAGCAAAGAATATTGGTTAAGAGCATAAACTCTGGTCAGATAGAAGTAGATTTTCAATCCCTGGCCCCACCAATTACCAGCTGTGTGGCTTTAATCAAGTTATTTTCCTTTTTAATCATTGTCCTCATCTGTAAGATATGCATAAATAGAGTTGGTGTGCGGATTAGACTAACTAATGCCTATAAAACTTAATACAGTGTCTGGTCCATAAGAAGTACTTAAGAAATTTCAGTTATTTTTGTTTATATTCTGCATGTCATAAAGATGGGAAATACAATGCAAAGAAGAAAGATGACAAAAGTGAATTCAGTTACTGGGAGAATATGTTAATCTTTCCATCATTTTCCTACTCCTGGCTGCTCTGCAATCCCTACCCAACTATGACCCCCCTAAACACTATTGCTTTTGCAACAGTTTTGGGTTTCTGTAGGTATGCTGCTTTGAAAAATTATCTGTCCTCTATTTATTCCTAACTTAGAATTGTTGCCTAGGATACAGAGCAAAAGGTTATTTGTATTGGAGTCTGACACAAAGCTAACTCTTACACTGTTAAGGTCTAGGTAGGTGCTCAGTAAACAGTGAGGACAGGATAAATACAATAGGAATATATGACTTTGGGGTCATTCTGAAGTTAACCTTCTCTCTCCCTGAGATCCAGAGTTGTCCCTCAGGTCAGTGTGAATGCAGCCAAGAGTCCTGG